TACATTAGCATTAATTGGTGGAAGTGGCTTTAGCCATTAAGTGTTTCTGTTGTAAAATAATTGACTTAAAATAGGCCCCACAATCAAGAAGACAAAATTTTAGTCACAACAAGCATTGACGGCAAGTAGTATTAAGATGTTGTTGATGTTCAGTGATAGTGTTAATTATTAAGGACATTATTTATGATGGATTAGTATAGTTTTGTTATGTTTTTCACCTTGGTTCATCATCCAAGGTAGGAATATGATTTCTCGTTGAATTATCTTTATTCTCATTACATCATTATTAGGTTTTGATATATTAAGACAAGTAATTAAATATTAGATTTATTGTATTAAATCAATACTATTAAAATTTTGATATTTTATGAAATTAGGACTTAGTCATAGACTTGAAAGTTAGAAAATATGAAACTTGGTATATTGGTTGGTACAAGATTAGAAACTTGACTATAGATTCGTGCTCTATGATTTTAGAATGATTCCGGGATCTAGGCTAGATGTATATCAATATGAATTTCTATATAACGACTTACTTAAGAAACATGCATATGTGATAGATTGTGAACGTGTTGAGGCTTTGCGAAAGGGAAGGACATAATCTTGAGGATTTATGACACATGTTCACCATTCGAGGTATGTTAAGACTTTCAGACTTGTTGAAGGAAGTTTTCCTTATTAAAGATTAAAAATGAAATATACAAAGGGATAAGGGCGAAAGATGTGGGCGTCTCGTATCAATGATTTGATGGGCATTGATACGAGTACCAATGTTATAAAAGGGAAAATCTATAGCTATAATATGTATACTGTAATTTGAGAATGCCAAAGCATATGGGTATTAGCTGAAGTATTTAGTGACTTGGATTTTTGTGTGTGGTTGTGTTCCTTTATTTAACCCGTGTAATTGTGATGACTGAAGTGATTATATGTCACAAAGACATTTGATTTATTGAGATGTTGTATCATCCCCATTAATTGATATCATATTGTGTATTTGCATTCACATGAGATTGAGTATGAGTAAAGGTCTAACACGTGCAGATCGTCTGTGTTGAGATCGAGTTGTGATTATAATTTGGGCACGTAGAGATTGTCCGTGTGAGTAATTGATTATGATTATAAGTTGGGCACGTGGAGATCGTCCGTGCTGGGGATTAGTTGATTATATGATAGTGTGTTGAGATCGTCCGCACAGACACATGAAGATCATCTGCGTCAGTATATGGACCTCGCGAGTCCCCCATGAGTCATGAACTCTCGATGTATTTCTGATGAGTAGCATGTATATTTGGTGGTTGAAAGTTACTTGATGTTTGATTACCTGTATTTGATGAAACTTGACTGATAATTGTAATATAGACTTCTATAATTAAAGAATTTATTTTTCTTATATAAACTTCCGTCACTACTTCTTCGTTGTCGGTCAATGTGATATCTGGGTACACGTGGTTTCGTACTCATACTACACTTGCTGCACTCTTTTGTGGTGCAGATTGGATTTCAATTTCAAGTGCATATCGTGGATTTTTCAAACCTGAGTTTTGAATTATCGTGGAGTTGTGGTGAGCTACTAGTTGTTCAGTGGCCCACACCACCTTCTATGTCTTTAGACGTTATCATTTTAATTTATTATTTAGACATGATATTTTTCTCATCTAGGTTTGTCATTTAGTTCTAAACTTTTATCATAGTTTAGAAGATTTTGTACTCATGACACTAAATCTTGGGGTAGAGATTGTGGTTTCCGCATTTCATACTTGTAAATAACTTAGTGATTAGATATTATGGTTTTGCATATTTTCTACTTAAAACATTGAATTGAATCGATAAAAGTATTGAGTTGGCTTACCTATCAGTTGGGAACATAGGTGCCGTCACGACTTGTGATTTTGGGGTCGTGAAAAATTTCAAATGACATTTGATCAATCAATGCAGCCCTAGTAAGCAGACAACTCAATATTCCTCCCATCTATATGATCTACTAACTAATTTGCCTATTTTCCCTCACCGCTAGACTAGTTTCCTAGATAACTCCCCTTTAATTGATTACTCTCTTTCTTAAGGCTTCTACCAACAACAAGAACTTTCTTGTGAAATATCTTGAGCGTACGGATAACTTTGCAGCTAGATCTAATGGCTATGTACTTGATGGTGTTGATGAATTTTGTCCTACTGGTGCACGTGAAACCCTTGAACCCTCCATCTGCGTTGCTGGTCATTGCCAATTTAATTTTCATAAAAAAGTTGAGGTGGAGTTAGAGGATGGGGCAGAGAGTCCTATCCTTTTTATTAATCATCCTAGCCACGATACTTGTTGAAATCACAAAGATCAATCATACTTTTTTTCAACACATATATCTCTCACTTGTTGATTTGATTTTTTTATAGGTCAAATGTGATTCGTGAGATCATCATGTGTAGAAATATGAGCTCTCTTCATTGAGAATAAGGTTGGATCCTTACCAAAGAGAGAGGATTCAATTTTTGCAAACAAGATCATGGGATGGAAATGGAAAAAGAGCCATGATAAAATTATCCCCTTTTGTGATGAAATTGGCATCACTCCCAAATTCTTGAAGAACTAAATTAACAACACATATGCAGAATAAGGCCCTTAGAAAAAATGTGCATCTAAGGAATAAGGATTACTTACTTATAATAAGTCTTTATGTCTTCTCTGCTTGTTTAATATGTTGGTTTCTTTTTTCTCATGTGTTTGATTCATATAATTTAATAATGTAAAGCATTGAGTTTCTTATATTAATTTATTTTTTTACTTTTTTTATTTATTATTTTACAATATTTTATGTCATAATTTCCACGTGATATCACATGTTTCAAATAGTTAAAAAAAGATAGATTTTTTTCTTAACTTGTTCGGACAAATCAATTACACGTTTAAATTAGCATGGGGAGTATTTATATATCACACACTTTTACTATTTAAGACAAAATTATTTATTTATTAAAACTAACATGACAAAAAAATATAAACATATGTCAAAAAAAAAACATCAAAAACATCAAAATTTTCCTTATGCCCACCCTCAACATTTCTTCTCTCACTCTACCCTCCTCCTCTACTCACACCGCACTCACTAGCCTCTTTTTCTTTATTCTTTAATTTTCGTCACAATTCTTTATTTTTCACCACAACTTTAAAGTACAATTTCTTTTTCACTCGAAATCAGGTTAATGTTGTATAAAATTAATCTAAATAAATGGAAAAATAATAATAATTCAATCGAAAAAGGGCCTAAAATACCCTTAAAGTATAGGAAATGGTACAAATTACCCTCCATCCACCTATTGGCTCCAAAATACCCTTCCCACCTACCTATTGGCTCCAAAATAGCCGTGTCATCCAGCTTTTGGTTCAAAATTGACCACTTATTTAACGGTTTTAAATTTAAATTATTTATATATTTTTTTAAATACGTGGTGCTAAATTATTTGTTATAAGTTAACTTATTATTATAATTTATAAATCAATTCACTACTCACTCATTATTAATTAAACCCCTCTAAATTAATAAATCTGTCACATTATTAATGCAACAACAGAAAAGCTACTACCAATTGAGTGTTTTTAAAAATTTGAGGTAAAAATATCTATAGAAGTAAATTATCATACATTCAAGTTTCTAAACAAAAATTACCGATAAACATAAGAGTCTGACTATGTTCATCTTAATTATTCTTACGTCTCAATTATGTGATGTTATTTCGTATGTAAATTTTTTTCAAAATAATATATTAAAGGTTATAAACAAATCATAAATATTTATAAAATTATAATTAAAAAATGAATAAATTAATTAGGGATGTATTACTTCTTTACCTTTAATCATAAATTTTTAATTAAATCTTGAAAGAGAATTCTATTGAAAGTGTCGTCCTAAATAAGTGATTCAACCTAAATTTAATTGGGACTGCGATTCAGACTCGAATAATTTTTGATGTCATTTTTCAGTAATCTATAATTTCATCGTGTTTTGGTAGTGTTTATGGCGATTTTTAAATTATAATTGGATGATTAATTGGGTGGGTTTTAGTTTGTAATTAGTGAGTAGTGGGTTCATTTAGGAATTATATTAATAAATGAAACTATAACCAATAGTTGAACGCCAAGTATTTTAAAAAATATTTAAAGAGTTTAATTTTAAAAAAATTAAATAAGTGGATAATTTTGAACCCAAAGGTGGATAAAACAAGGGTATATTTTAGCCAATAGGTAGATGAGAAGGGCATTTTGGAGCCAATACGTGGATGGAGTGTAATTTTGTACCATTTTGGAGCCAGTATGTTTTGAAGCTTGAAAATTTTGAAGCTATGATGTTTAGAGAAACAATACCTAGACGATGATGGAGAGGGTTTGGGCCTATCAACGTCATGTCAGAATTTTTTAGGGATCGTCAAAGGCAATCAATCACTTTTGAAAGACCTCCATCCGGCTCCGCCACCATTTCGTGAATCTTCTTCAAGTGTTTTTTAGAAAATAAAGACGCATATTTAAATTAAGTGCAAGCTTTGCTTTCCTCCATTTTGAATCTTGATATTCTTCAAAAAAGAAGAAGTCTAGCTAGATGAAATTCATAACAAATTGAATTTATTTCAATGAAGTTGATGAAAAATTCTAGATTCTTTTATATTAAAAAATTGGTGTTCTCTACGTGGATTCTTAGTAACTTCTTAATTTAAGTTGTAACGTTTAATTATCTTTGAACACAACAACAATTCAATAAAGTATATCTTTTTTTATGATTTGGGGAAAATGCACAAGTACCCCCTCAACCTATGTCTTAAATCATAGAGGCACACTTATACTATTACCTATTAAGTGGGGTAATAGGACCTTAGTATAATATAAATGTGTCTCTGAGATTTCGGGCATAGGTTGAGGGGGTACTTGTGCATCGTTCCTATGATTTGGAAAAAATTGATTTGAATTTTGTTAAAGGAATCAAATTTTTTTCTTCTTTTTTCTTTTTCTTTTTTTTTATCTTGTTAAAGAAATTTTGGAGTTTTTTTATTTGGTGGTGGTGATAATTATATTGGTTTTGTTGTGCTTGGTTATAAGTGGCAAAAATTAAAAAAAAAACAAATATAATAAAGAAGGAAACATGAATATTGATAATGTTGTAATGATAATATTTGATTGTGGGTACAAAGAAGGAAAATCTTATTGCTAAGATGAATATATCCCAAACTTAGACTTTAATTTGTTACTTTCAAACCTTAGTTAAATATGATAAATTAATGATTGCGAGACAATTATTTAACGATGATAATATAATTATCGTCATATGATATTTGAGCCACAATAATAAATATGAGTATTTATATTTAACACTCTATGCAAAAATTATTAAAGGTTTTAGCTATTCTGGATGCAATAACATTAACTCAATTATCACTATATATTTTTATGGCTATAAATATTTTTGCTAAAATGAAACTTTGTTGATACTACATATCTATTTCGTTAAAGTGGTTATTTATACTAAAACCCACAAATTCAATTGCTTAAGTCATAAATAATTTTTTCCCACAAGCATTTTTTAAAATAAAAGAAAATTCCAAATTTTTCTATATATTTTGAAAAATGTATGATGACCTATTATATTTAAGTTTGTTTGTCCTATATGGTAATAGGTGAACATTTTCTTGTTATTACATTTACAAATAAAGAAAAAGTAGTAATCTGTTGTATCTTTAATTGTATTATATTCGAGTTTAGCTTAGTAAATGATTAGACTTGTGTGTAGCAGTGTTTGGTATAATTAACTAAATAAAAGATAAGTATTTTTAAAGAATTTAACCTTTTAGATGAGATATTCACTAATTGCAGTACAAGAAAGTTATCCATGAATAAATAAAAAAATGAACTTTTATTCATAATATATATTTAAATCATATCAGCAAATGTAATATATGATTAATTAGTACCACATTGAATTAAGTAAATAAATCAATATACATACCACATTGAATTAAATATTTTAATATGGACGATTCGGTTATGCAATGTGAAATCATGATTTGATATTGAAATAGTCTAAGTTGCCTCGTCGATAAATTACTTATCATTTTTTTATAAATATATATTTTATGATTACAAACTTTCAAATCTTCATGATTTTATATTGATTTAATGGTCAATAGTATAGTAGTAGTAGTTAGTTATTCTTTAATATAGTTCTATCACATGATAGAATAATCTCTTCATGCAAAACATGAGTGTTTTTGCAAAATTCGAAATGATGGTTTACAAAATATAAACTTATAGGTTAAGTTTTAACATTTTTTTAAAAATAAAATCATGACTTGAAACTCAAGACATCATATCTTATACCCTTCAACTATGTTTTGATTCAAAATTACCCTTCATATCTTACTATCGGATCACATCTACCCTTTCATTTCACGGAATAAAATGTGGTATTTAAAGTTTAATCATGATGCCACGTAGATATCCAACTAATCACGCCCATCCTACCCAAATGATTCAATCTTCCCCCTTCACTTACACC